TAAAACCTGTGACTGCACACTGTAAAAGCACAGCTCATATCCCTACTGAGGTGTTTAATTTTACTGACCTGAACGTCTTTAATTTTACTGGCAGAAAAGTTTATTGTGTGTTGGCTAAATTATCCATTTTTCTCATACAAAGACATGAAACCGATGAGATAAAGTATGACTTTAATTATGCTATTTTGCTGCATGACAAGTCATTTCATTTGACTTGGTTACATTTTTGTGCTTTACTAATTATATCCTTATGGGTGAAATCAGGAGGATCCTAATTGGTGACGGTGTCACCAGGACATTCAGTCAAAAACATTGAGAATTCAGAGTAGTCAGTCAAAATTGTTTTGTATGAGTTTAACTCAGAAAAGGCAAGGCAATGAGCCAAACCTGTGTTATGTTGTTATGAGTTTTAGGGAAAAATCTGAAAGTTAAAAACTTAAACATCAGTTACATGCTTTCAACAAAAGTTTGATCAAGAGTTCAGCTGTAACAAAAAAAACCTGCATACACGATTATTCCCTTTGCCTGACGAGGACCAGATGTGAACAGAAGGCAAAGATGAGGGTGAGAAGTCCTGAAGCTCAGGATTAGTTGCAAAACATGGACGGACCAAAAGCTATGGACCAAAGCACTGACCTGGACCTAAGGACTGACTGCTGTCGGCTTGCTTGCTTGCTTGCTTGCTTGCTAAACTAATACAGTTTTTGCCTCCTTCATGAAGGCAAACATTCTTCAAACTGAGAAGTGTGGGAATAAGTAAGGCAGGGTACATATCTCTCTGTCTGACAGAGAGCAAATCAAAAATCAAAAAGGGTGTGTGTGTGAGAGAGAGAGAGAAAGGAATACAGTCATCTGTATGGACCACCTTAATATTAGCCAGAACGGGGCAAAACATTTAATACATAAATGTAATTACGCTTCCCCTTTCTTTATTGCCTCTGAGAGAATCTTCGGTAAGCAAAGTCACGAAACGCGGGGCTTTTCTGGAGAGACTGTCTATCCCCGCCCACACACTTGCACCCTGAGGGCGGCCGGCTTGATGCATGAAATTTTTGGCGCGTACCCCTCACTGGCTCACGAGCCCGGCAGATGGCACCTCACCAGAAACCAGCGCGCTGCAGCAGGTACAGCTGCACGGCAGAGGCTGCTGGGTCACGAGCCGCTTGTCCAGCCCAGACACAAACGTGGAGCGGTCAGAATGCAGCTGCTTCGGGTGAACGAGGAGTGCTGACACTAGGAGATGCTAAATTATAAAGCAGACACTTTTTGTCACCATTATAATCACCATTGGTTTTTCTTCTGTTTCCTGTCTCACATTTCAGACTTGAATAGTGTATCTATATTGCCTTGTTATGGCAAAATGTGCTTCCTCTACAACCTGAATTATATGGAATCTGTGGTCTGACTGTGTTTTATTGTATTACAGTGTTTTAAAACTGAATTTTTGGCAGCCACTATCTATGGTGAAATGGAAAAGGTGCTGCGTTTTCTACCTGTGATAGGATTCTGGATATTTATCCATTTGTTTTGTATGTGCTGACAGTGTGAGGCAGTGCTAAATTCTAAAGCTTCAGAAGTTGAGGCATGAACTTTTTCAATAAAGTTTTTTTGGGGAATCCTATAGGATTGTTTCTGCTTCCTGTGTCAACAGGAAGTGTATGTGTGTGCACATCTGTGTGCACGTGAGTGTATGGATATGTGTGTGCATGTGTGTGTGTGTGTGTGTGTGTGTGTGTGTGTGTCTGTGTGCGTACAGTGTTACTATAGCCAGCGACTCTGTATGGAGAAGGTACTGTGCTCTGTACATTTTGAAGACTGCTGGATAATTGTTTTTTTTTGTGTGTCCGCACATAGGTTGATTTGGACATTCAAGGGAATTCAAATGCGTTTGTGTGTTGGTGGGGGGGGGGGGGGTGGGAATCAGTGTGTGTGTGTGTGTGTGTGTGTGTGTGTGTGTGTGTGTGTGTGTGTGTGTGTGTGTATGTGTGTGTGCATTTGTAAGCATGTGTGTTTCGGCAGATTCATCTGCTTGTTTGTCAGTGTGGGCGTCTGTGTTGCAAGGGAGAGGAGGATATCTGTCATGGCTGAATGTGGCCTACATTTGAGCAAGCTGGCTGAAGTGTGATTATAAATTCAAATCAATTTACAACACTGCCAGGATACGCTATCATTAGTCAAAAGTCACATGCTAGATTTATACTGTGACACATGCAATAAAGTTTTAATTTGCAAAAAGCAATGCCATATTACGCACAGTCACTGCCAAAGAGATACACTATTTAAAGCGGGACTGTTTTTGCAAATGCACAAAGCACCCTGTCAATTTCTACAACATTTCTTTGAATCCGTTCTGGCACTGGAGAGAAAAAGCAACAAATTTGACGTAGTGGGCAAGTTTTAAACAAACAATCTTGGTTCTTGAAAACCATTTTTGCATGTTTAATTGCAGAAGCGAAAGACATACTTCTGCAAAAAAAAACTAATAGTGCACAGAAATTAGTTTAACCTAACAGTTTAAATTAATTGAGTTTCACTTAATGAGCTTTTAACATTGTTGGAAATGATTAGTGCAAAAAATGAATTCATCATGAATAATTTTCTTGTTCCTGTCTTTAGTTTTTTATTTAGTTGCATGAGATAGATGAAAATGGAACATTTACATTTACAATTACATTTACATTTACAATTTACATTTACAATTACATTTACATTTACATTTACATTTACATTTACATTTACATTTACAATTTACATTTACATTTACAATTTACATTTACAATTTACATTTACATTTACAATTTACATTTACAATTTACAATTTACATTTACATTTACAATTTACATTTACATTTACATTTACATTTACATTTACATTTACATTTACATTTACATTTACATTTACAATTTACATTTACATTTACAATTTACATTTACAATTTACATTTACATTTACATTTACATTTACATTTACATTTACATTTACATTTACATTTACATTTACATTTACATTTACATTTACATTTACATTTACAATTTACATTTACAATTTACATTTACATTTACAATTTACATTTACAATTTACATTTACATTTACATTTACATTTACAATTTACATTTACATTTACATTTACAATTTACACAATAGAGTAAGGCTGTGCAGACTATTTATAAAATACAAATATCACAATGACTCTGGACAATTTTCAGAGTTTCACCATAATACCAAAAAACAGCTGCTCATTGAAAAGATAATAGAAAACTGCTTCATCCACCAATTCATTTGTAATTCCTTTTTTCTGTTTCATCTCTTCCAATAAATTCGAATTACAGTAATCTAATTTTGGGTCCCTTAGCATATTCAAAGGGAAATGACCATCTGCATTGATTACCTATGGGCCAAACGGTTCCACAGAGAAAGCACACCGCACTGATCCGGGATAAGGTGTCTTCTCTACCCAAATCATATGCTTACCCATAATGAGCTGGAGGCAAAACTGATCCTAGACCTGCATTCAAAAGCAATAACCACCATCAAGCCTGGCGAGGTCTGGAACATCTAGCAGCCAGCTGATTTCAACATAGCAGTGGGAGGACACGCCTCAGTTATTTTAAAGCTGAGAGCTGAGTGCCCTTTTTGAAAACCTTAACGTGGGTACATGACAGTTTTTCCAAATGAACGGCACCCACTTCCTTTCAGGGTCTTAAAGGTCGTTTGAGTGGCTAATGCAAAGCAAGAAGATCCTGTACGGCAACTAAAGTTGCACATGGCTCGTTGGTCTAGGGGTATGATTCTCGCTTAGGGTGCGAGAGGTCCCGGGTTCAAATCCCGGACGAGCCCAGTTCTTTGGGGCAGCCCCTAGTTTAGGGGCTACATTCCCTGAAGTAGGTGGTTTTGGCCACTGAAAGAACACCATTGAGCCACATTGTTCATTTAGCATAACAATAATGTTAACAAGTTACTTCTTAACTCTGTTGCAGTCAATATGATTCTATCAGTCTCATTCAGTTTTTTGTGAAGATCATTAAAATATAGAATACTAATGGCTAATGCAAGGCAAGATCATCCTGTACGGCAACAAACTTTACATGTGGCTCGTTGGTCTAGGGGTATGATTCTCGCTTAGGGTGCGAGAGGTCCCGGGTTCAAATCCCGGACGAGCCCAGTTCTTTGGGGCAGCCCCTAGATTAGGGGCTACAATCCCTATACTTCATGACTGAAATATGCAGTTTACATGTCTGCTTTGTTTTCTCTGCAGGATTTCTCAATGCTGTCAGTGTAGATTGTCTGTTGAAACCACTTAAAATGGCAATGATCACTACCCAGTCATTCACAGAATGGCTCATTTATAGGGTGCTCATGATCAGATCCTTCTTTCTTTTGTCATTTGTAAGACCACAGGTCAAAAGACTTGGGTATATCTACACGTTAAATTCTTCGCAAACCAACCAGGTACGGTTCCATAAAGTGCACGGATAAACACTCAGAAAGATACGGGTGAAATAAGAATCACTGTTAATCAACCGTGACACAGCAGGGCAACAGCGTTTTTGTTTGTGGAACTGAGTCTCAGTTTTGCATTCATTCGCTGACCTACTCATGAAAGTGCAAAAACGGATAAACGTATATGGCCAGGCGCTAACATGTAATTGTAAGCGAGCGTTCGATCTCAGAAACAAATCCGGACATCATGTGTAAACACTGGCCTGTAAACGTCTTCACGGCTTTGTCAGCATGTGCCGGGACCGTAAGATAAAGCTGTAATGGGCTTTTATGAAATATGCCACCATCTGTTAGGCGTCTTTCAGAAATCTACTCAGCAGGGGTTTTGTAGCTGAAGAAAATTTCACTCCTACGGAAAGTAATTAACAACCTGGAGAACAGAAGGTAGCATTTTCATCTTACAACATTAAAATCTTTATGAAAAAGGAAGATTCTTGCCCTGAGGTATGAATTGTCAAAGAAAATATAACACCACAAGAGTGAGGTCCACATATTACAGCATCCATTGCATAGTGGTTAGTGAGCTTAGCTTATAACTAAGGGGTTGTGAGTTTGATTCTCAGGTGACGTGTGGTTGTGCCCCTCAAGCAGATACTTAACCTGTAGCACTTTAGTAAAATATTCAGCTGTAGGAATTTAAAACTATCTGCCTTGTTAGTCACTTCGGATTAGCATGTCTGCTACATGTTACAGATTTGTGCAATTAAAAAATGTATGACTTCAGGAATGACAGAGGTGAGTAGATGCTGTGAAAGTAAAAAGATCTGCACACTGACTTTCTTGCACACTCTGATAATTCGGATATTTTGAAAATAATTCAGTGAGTGTGACCCGTTTCATTTTCATAACAGCATCTGCTAAATGGAATGCAGAGAGTGTCCAGTCCTCTTAAAAAATTTGAAGAGTCAGTGTTGTGGGGCTTGGAAGGATTTTGAGGCCATTGTCATGCCAGCGCCTAATTATTTCTTGAGTGAGACTCTCCCCTTTCTGACAGTTCATCTAGCAGAGAAGAAAAAAGGTACCAGAATATTTTTGTATGTTGTTAAGAATCTGTGCACATTTTGAAAATCAAATAATATAAACATGGTTTCTGTGGGTCACTGTGACTTCATCTGGTGGTTTCAGGGCCTTCAAATGCATTTTCACAGAGCAGCATTTTTTATAGTTCCAAACATGTCTGGGCTTCCTTCAAGATGGTGGGGGTTTGAACTGTCTTCCACTCAAAAAAAAAAAAAAAATCCTGCAGACAATATGAAACCTTAACCTGAGTGGCCAAGTAGTTTTTGATGCCCCAGTGATTGGTTAATTAGGTCATTAAGTAATTAACAAAGTACTTCATTATTAATGATCAAATGAACCACAATTATCAAATAGCTTTGTGTTGAGGGTGGGTTTGAAGGTGTCCATGAGGCCCTGGGTCTATTTACAGGGACAGTTCCTTATTCATGTGTCCTTACAGCCTCAGCAATCAGGCTAAAGTCATGCCCAAATGCAATGCAATCATACTTCATCACAACATTGTGAAAATGTAAACACATATACAGGGCGGTAAAACTAGCTGTCAATACTCCAAGCCAAACGTTTCAGTATACAACATTCAGTTCATGCCAACCTGACATTCAGCTCCCCTGGGCTTTCGGTATTTTACCAGCTGGCTCTATACAAGCTAAAAAACTGAGAATTTGTGAGTTATGAGTTCAAGGAACTAGCTGAAAAAGTAATATCCTCTCATTTCCTCAGCAGCTTTACAAACAGTATAACTATATCTGAAATTAATGGAACATTTAATACAGAATGCGTGCCTTCATGGCCAAAATAATTTCACTGATATGTCCAATATCAGACTGGAATAATTGTGCAACACCATTTTCAATCTATAGGATATATACTAAGTCGAAGCCAAACACTCAAGATTCACTCTACTCTCTAGAAAGCCCAGGGATAAATGGCAGCTTGAGCATGTGACCAAAATTTACATTCTAGAATGTCACAAAACCCATTCTGGAACAGTTTCACACTGGAACTGTTGGCCCCATTGTTTAGGGTTATTGCTGAGCTTAAACCACATAAAACAGGAAAGTAGGGCCAGCTAGCACCAGGACAAATTCCAGGTTATCCCACTTTGCAATTTGTAACTGTGAAACATTTGTTAGCCAAGGGCTAATGGGGCTCTTAGCCATAGGCTACATCTAATAAGGTTCAGTGAGGAGACAGTGTTATTTTTATCTTTAGGTGGACCTTCCAATGAAAAAATATATTCATTCACAATTTAAATAACTAACATCTTTGGCTCCTGTTCACAAAAAACATATTGAAACATCTTTACTCTGAGGGAGTGTTGCATGAACCCAGGGTGTATGGTTTTAATGGTTATTATTTGTATTAATTGATTCTTTCTGTCATGTGAGGAGACAGGAAGAGTCCACAGCACACCAGTCCTGAGGCAGAAATGCTGACAGTAAAATCAGTCTGTCAAGCATGGTGATTTAGGAACATTTCAAAATAGTTCAAATCAGGGGTGTCACCAGACCCTATTTACTGGGCCACATGGCCCTTTAATAATTTGTTGTGCCCCAGTAAGCAATCATGAAAAATAACTAGTTTTTAAAAATTTATCATAAATTGCAAGTGTGAGGATGTGGGCACTGGGGGCCTGTGCCCCAGTAGTGCTAAAAGTCTAGCAGCTTCCCTGGTTCAAATACAAGAGTTTTTAATTAGCAAGCTAGTTCTTTCTGTCATGAAAATATGTACACCAAAATCTACCTGAAATTCCTTCAGAAATTCCTTCCTTAGTCCCGTGATTGGAGGGTTATTGGGATCACCTGTGTTCAGCAGTGTGGGGACCGGCTCCTAATTAGCTTGATTGAGAGCAGTTGTAAATGCATTCCCCTCTAGGCCAATCAGGATGTGACAACACACTTCCTTTTGGGCTTTAAAGAGACAGGAAGTTATCAAAATTTATTTGAATGTCAGCATGCCAGATTCCTGTCCTATGTGTGGCAGTCCTCATGGTACATGCAAAGAGATATACATGTAGTTCACAACTGGTCTTTTAGGGAATGTATCAGGAAGTGTCTTTGTTATATTTGTTGTACCATTTGAGGAGTTTCCTGAGAAGCCTGGTTTTTGAGTATCATCATTAGAAACGCTCTCTTGCTGGGTTACCAGCGTGTAGGCTGCCAAGGTCAATCATTTCTATACCTTTGTTGCTTGTTTGATTTGAAAGCCAAAGCCTCCTCTCCAATTTGTTCTGTCAATTTTAGTTGGGGAAATCATAAATGGATGAAAAACATTTCAGTTTCCTTATGTATTGAAGAAGTGTTTCATCCGGAAAGGCATGCGTTTTCTCCCTGTTTTTATTTGCCCTGGAACTTGCTTGTCATTGATCAGTTGAATTTTGAGATATCAGTACCGCAAAAAAAATTATACAGAGAAGTCCAATTCCATTGTGCATTGTTCAATAGTGTAGACCTGAGTTTATCTGCATATTAAAAAATGTAGGAAAAAAGGCAATTTTGAAATGGGAACCAAACTGAGAATATCCATAATGGTAGTGACTCGTGAACATGAGCATAGACCACGTTGAATGCTATCGGATCATAATCACAGTTTTTCAGCACTCGGGATACACCTCCTCCATTGCCTCCCCTGAGGTTTATAGTTATGGAATTTATATTTTTTTTATTATGTATTTTCAGCTCATGTTTGTTTTTGCTTTGAAGGTTCCTCCTATGTGTTGTTCCTGAGGGATCGGTCAGTGCATTTCCATACAAACAACATAACGAGCAAAAAAAAAAGGATATAATCAAGCATGAAAATCAAGTCGGTTCTGAGTTAAAGCGATCCGGCAGGCAATCAGCATGCCCATCGAACCCCCTAGTTTGCAGGCGTCCTGCAAATTAAACCGGCGTCAGCCACTGAGTGGCCAGCGAAGCTCTACTCAACTTCATTCCGACTCACGTGGCTAACGCAGGCCCGTAACCCAATCACGCCGAATGCCGTCAGAAACTCCACTTTCCACTCAGATGCGCAGTGTTTAATATCAATGATTAGTGCTTATTAAAAGCCTGGTGTTAACGCTGAAATCCCAATCAGATGACGACTGTCTGTATTCACTAAACCATGAGTGGCAAACTAGCCAGAAGCATGTTTATGATGCTGTTTATACTATGTTTGTTTTTCCTTTTTCCCCCCTGAGAGGTCCTTGGGACCCACTGTGTATGCTGGTTTTTATTCCAACCACAACTGCAACCCCAGAATCTTAACAAGCTGTTAATTGTTCATAATTGTTCAACTGTTCACACTTTTCATGATTAGAAAGACGATTTTGCCATTATAACTATGCATGTCATGAAGAAAAAGCTGCTGTTTATACATTTTTTTTTTTGCTGCCCTTTTTCCTGCCCTGAACACCAGCTGAACTGGTTAGCCGACTCAGGAGGAGGAAGCCGTGGCATGTGATTCCTCTGACTCGTGACGACTAGTACTCACTTATTTTCATGCTGCAGTTGAACCACCAATCACACATCACCTCTGCTGTCGGAAGATTACGCAGTCAGTGTATTTTCAGTGTGTACACCTGCAGGTGCCTGGCTGACCAGGAGGGTTCACAAGAGAGCGATGAACCAACAAACCTTTAACCTGCCTATACCCCTACCATGTGAGGGTAGGGGTGCAGGCAGGCCTACATTTTTTTACCATGTGAACCACTCAAAGGGCATACTTTCTTTTTCAATATGACAAAAGTAAGGAATATGTGAGATGTGTCTTGGTCTTTAAAATTTTTTTCCTGTATTTAAAAAATCCCTTCAGGCAGACATCTCAGGACCGGCAGAGAGCATGTCTGGGGAAAAGCCTTCATTTAAAGGCCCACTTGATTCATCTTGATGGTTTTTCAGAGAGACAAAATGAGCTCCAGAAGAGGAGGAGATCACATTTCTCCACTCCTCAGGGCTCACTGATTGCATTTAGATATGTATTAATTTTAGTTTTTGCTTGAGGATAAATCTCAGGCCATCATTATGTTTATTTTCCCCCCTGGTTAAACCTTCATCAAAACATGATTTTCAAAGGGCACATAAACAGCTCACCTAGGTGCCGCTGAGTGGCTCACAGGGTAAGGCGTTTGCCAGGGGATCAAAACCTGGCCACAGAGGGCCACAGAGGCCCACATTGTCAAAGCAACAATCCAACAGTCATAGACAGTGTGCAATTAGTGGTGCAGCTGCAGCGCAAATAGAAACAAGAGCATCGTCATGTGAATCAGAGAAGTCACATGATCAGCCTCTCCTTCCAAAGCCAGCAGAGCCAGTGGGGTGGAAAAATCAGGGTATAAACAAAAAACATGGCTCTCTGTTACACATTTAAAACATTTGTTGGTCTATTAAACTTTGCCCTTCTGTAATGAAATCACATGATCACTTTTGAAGAGGATTGACTGACTTCTTTACAGGCCAACTTAACTGTGAAATAAAAAGAAAAGGATAGTAATTCATGTTTGATTGCCGTTGTAAAGTATGACTCGGTGCAGTTTTGCATGGCCAGGTTCAATGCTGTAATGCTGTCCTTGCC